GGGCCCTTAGAATGAGACATGTTGGACTGGACTGAACACTTAGGCCTTAAGGGAAGTCCATGTAGAGGTTTGGGCCCAATTTGGAAAATTGGGCCATATGTTGGGCTTCAAGCCATAGTTGGACTTTTGGGCCTTTGGATTGGGCTTTGGGATTAGATCAAGCTAAGATTGGGGTAAAGCAGTCTTTTACCCCAAGCATGGACTTACAGTTATGTGTTAGAACCCAATTATTAATTGGGTGTTATTTTGGTGTTTACAGTTCGGGAATCTGTCATCCAGCAGTTGGGGTTGACTCTGCGGGACTTCAGCAGTGTGGGATTGTGTCTACGGGACTTCAGCAGTGTGAGGTGAGTCCTCTTCCAGTAGGAACGGGTCTAAGGCCACAATGTCGGCCCGTTTAGATGTTAGTAGTACCGGACTTCGGTCCGATGTCGGGCGGGGCCCGATGCAGTGATTTAGCTTACGTGTTATACGTTATGTGTTCCGGACTTCGGTCCGATGTCGGGGTGGTCCCGAGAAGTAGTGTAGTATGCTTGATGTCTTTGTGATTCAGGCATGTCTATGTGTTATGTGTTCCGGACTACGGTCCGATGCAGTATGCAGTATATGTATTATTGTTATATGTTATGATTATGTTATGCTATGTTCAGTCAGTTCCGGACTTCAGTCCGATGCAGAGGGCAAGGCCTTAGTTAGTTCCGGACTTCGGTCCGATGCAGTGGGCAAGGCCCTAGTCAGTTCCGGACTTCGGTCCGATGCATAGGGCGAGGCCCTAGTTAGTTCCGGACTTCGGTTCGATGCAGAGGGCGAGGCCTTAGTTAGTTCCAAACTTCGGTCCGATGCAGAGGGCGAGGCCGTAGTCAGTTCTAGACTTCGGTTCGATGCAGTAGGAAAGGCCTAGTATGTGCTTTATATGTTATTGCATGGTATGTGGTAGTTCAGGGAGACTCACTAAGCTTCGTGCTTACAGTTTTCAGTTTTGGTTTCAGGTACTCACTTTTCAAAAGAGGAGCTCGGGAAGATTGCAGTGCACACACCATTCGTTCAGCCTGGGATGTTTATACTCTGATATACATGACAGTTGTTATATTATTCTGAGATACATTGTTGTGATTTTTCTATGACGTATGATGACTATGGTTTTATTACTGATTTAAAATGAAATTTTCAGACTATATTTTTGGGATGTTACAGCCTTAGATCACACAAAACGGCTAGGGTTTCGATATACAGTCTTGAGAGAGTGGATAGGGACGATGGAGGCTGAGATAAGATGTTTAAATAGGGTGCAAACCCTCAAATTTAGGGTTTCACTCAACAGCACCTACTCGCCGAGTCAGTCTCCCGACTCGTCGAATAGGTCACTTAAACTGTCCACGGATCTCGTCCCTACTCGACGAGTTGGGCCTCCAACTCGTCGAGTCCCAGAGAAAAATACAAAAACACTTGAATTAAAATCATACCAGGACTCGGGTGTTACACTAATCTTGATAGGGAACAACCTTAGGGACTAGGAAACACTTGGAATGAAGTGGTACAATCACATATGATTGCACTAAAGGTGTTTACGGCCACACACAAGGGTGTGTTTACGTCCAATGTGTTCACGGCCATTGATGATTACGGCCATGTGGTTCACGGCCATTGATGATTACGGCCTAAGAAGATCACGAGAAGGGTTTACGGCCAAGGGAGATGTTATGGTCGTAAACTCTTGATTCTCAATCTAAAGTGGTCGATTCTTGGACGTGTTTCAAGAGCTTCTAATGGATAACTAGTATATGGAAAGGATACTTATGTTTTGAAGCTTGAAAGAGGTGAATACGACCCAAAGAACTGGTGTGTTCTTGGTGTTCTTGAAGATCTAACCCAAAAGAGATGAATTCACGGATGAAATCAAGGGGTTGTACTAGATTAAGAAGGATATCAACTAATACGAAAGAATCACTTACAAATTTTCCGAGAAATCGAAGCGTTCTTGATCATACTTGAGAGAGAAAATGAGTGTTCTTGACTTGGAAGTGTGAGAAGTGAAGGAAAATGAGGTAATATCACCCTTAAGGGTGGAGTTCACAGCCATCCAAGAGATTACGGCCGCAATCTCTATTTTACGGTCGTAAACTCCAAGTGATGGAGTTTCCGGCTTGAATGTTGCATAATGAACTCTCGTAGATACTTCCTAACACTTAAACCTTGAATGTACTAGGCTTAGAACACTCAAACAGACCTTTAACAATGCTAAAAGATAGCAGAAACAAGTCTGACTCTTGATTGAATTCAATGGCTTTACTAGATAGAAATTTCGGGTTGTCACAGTAGCAAACCTAGACAATTATCACAAAGACAATCATCTAAATACATTCCCTGCTGGTGGGACGGCATTGTGGCCATAGACCCACCTTTATTGGAAGGTAACTCACCCCAATGTCGTGTAGTGTCTGCACTGTCCTCGGTATGGAAATCAACTCTTCTCGACTCCTCAATCCCTACACAACATCCTTTTTACATTACCATTTCATACTCATAACCCCTACAAGGGTCAACTCAAGTCCAAGGCAAATTCAAGGTCAAAACCTTGGTCAAAGTCAACATCTGGTTGACTAAACTCGCCGAGTTGGTCCACCAACTCGTCGAGTCCCCACGTCTACAAAATGCTACAACCCCGTCCCTACTCGTCGAGTCTAGCAAGAGCTCGACGAGTTCTCCTTCAACAAAACATCGGGACCTTCTTCAATTGAGTCGGCGAGTTCATCCTTGAACTCGTCGAGTTCATCTTCATCCATATGAAGGTGTTTAGTCTATGACTCGCCGAGTTCTCCTTGAACTCGTCGAGTCCGTCTTCATGTGGTTGGGACATTGCCTTGAACTCGTCGAGTCCTTTGATCTTCAAGTCCATAACAAACCCCAACAGGTTGAGTTTTCCTTCAACTCAACCAAAGACCATTTCCATAAGACGTTTGGGGGAAACTGCGACCCGACTCGCTGAGTCACCTAAGCGACTCGCTGAGTCCCTCTTTGTCCAAAACTATACAGTCGATTTTAATCGGTCATAATCCATCCAAACCATAGATCTGACCTCCTAGGGTCCATATTATACATAAAGTTCCAATCTTGACGTCCATGCATGAGGTATTTGGCCCAAATGGCTCTAGAATGAAGTCTACAAGATCCATGGGGTGCTTATGGCAATAAAATTGGCACCTTTATGTCATAGAACCCCCAATGGTTCCATATCTGAAGCTATACCCTCAATGAACGACAAAATTCCGAGTATGACACCTCTAAGGCTTAGAAAATGTAGAAATGAACCCTAACTAGAGATCTAAGAGATAGATGGTCAAGGTTTCAGCTTTATACCTCAAATGAGCTGGAAATGGAGCACAACCTCTGGATCTACTAGCTTCCACTCGAACTTCCAAGCTCCTTCTTCCTTCTAAAGCAGGAACCGGGTGTTACATATAGCTTATTAAATTCATGAGTTTGTATGTTCGTAAAACGTCATATTTCAGTAGTTCGAATTAGGTAAACATGTAAAACTACAAATAGAATAGGAGATAAAAAAAAAATGTCATGTCTATTATACGTCTGAGTGAAAACAAATTCTTATCGCTATATGGATAAAAATGAGAATGTCTCAATGATATATTTGGATTTAAATCGAATAATGGTCTCTTTTGCAACACGTGAGGTATACAAACCTTAATTGACATTAAACAAAAACCAAACTGCATTTATCCACCAAAACAATCCTGTTACGTAAATTAAGTATGTGAAAAAAAATTATAAACATTTACGTTTTCACTGAAAATTAAATAATGAGCATATGTATCAATGTCTTGTAATTTTTTTTTTTTTGACAAATTACTTACCTTTTTGTTAATTTTAAACAAAGTTGCAGAAATCGGGATTAATCGGCGATTAATCGTGGATTAATCGCTTGGAGTTCTCCAACCGTCGAGGATTAGGGTATTAATCGGAAATTTATGATTAATCGGGTTTTGCGGGATTAATCGATCTTGGCGGGATTAATAGGTCAACAAAAGTCAATAAAAATCAAAAAAGTTCAAAAAAAAAATTCAAAAAATTCAAAAAATCAACTTTCTTTTTTTACTCCAAAATTTTCAAATTTTCAAAATTTCAAATATTATACCAAAATGTTAATATTTTCGTATTTTCAAAATTTTAAATTACAAAATTTCTTATTTTTTTAATTTTGAAGTACTTGTTTTTCTTAAGATATATTAATATTTGATTAATTTTAATATTTCATTAATAATCAATGGTCCCCGATTAATTCACGATTAATCCCCACCATGACCGACTAGTCCTTTAACACCAGTTGACCGTCGGGCTACCGTCGAACGACTTTTACAACATTGATTTTAAATCATGGTTGATAACCAAGAAAAAAAACGATACCAAAAAAAATCAATGATTTGGTTTTCCAAAATTTTAAACTGACTTTCGGATTTGGTTTTGATTTTAATAAAAAACTAAATTGAATTGAACAATGTTCACTCCTAATCATCCATCTCATATACATACTCAAACTATATGTGTGGACGTTGTCCTTTCACATCCAACCAAATAAATTGGTTTGTTGTACCATATTAACATGATAACATGATACAACTGGTCACTATTTTCTTGATCAAGTAGCTACACTGAATGAGACGCCTTCCTTTCAAGAGGTCTTTGGCCTAGTGATCTTGTTTTAAGAGGTTGAGGTTGAAGTCCTGTATGAAATATTTATAGACTTCATGAGTAGTTTGCAATGTCTGTGGGCTGCGGTTAAAAAATAGAAGCTACATTTGGAACTTATCTTACTTGTTCGCCATGGAAGGAACCTAATCTTACACCAAAGCAAACACGTGAGGATAACAAAAAACAGAATAAAGACAACTTTGAAGAGAACATAAAGTTTTTTTACTCTATAAAAACAGCTAATCTTACACATACCCATATGCAGTTAAACCTCATTCACTCTTCCTTAATCCCCTTTATTCACATTGTATCTTTTTCCCCCTTGTCACGTTCTAAGATCTCTCCACCACCACCATCACCCTCACAACCACCACCTATAAAAATCCACCATATTTCTTTTCAAAATCCACCATATTCTATCTTTTAGGCATTCAAAAAATGGCAATGAAAGATCAAAACACCGGTCAATACACACTCCCTTTAGTTTGTTTCTCGATCATACTTATGGATGTTATAGCTGGAATCCTCGGCATTCAAGCCGAGGTAGCTCAAAACCAGGTCTGTTTTTAATACTATTTCTTTTTTACTTAATGGACTTAATGTAGACACAATTCAATTCTCTAAGCTATATATCGATGCTTTTTCAAATGATCTTTCTCCATTTATTTCAAATTTATAAAATTTCACCACAAATATATCATAGTTTTCTCAAAATGGTGGCATGTTGACAAAATTCACCAACATAAATTAGCCGAATTTTTTGTGTAGGTGCAAAGTTTAAGGGTGTGGATCGTTGAATGTCGAGATCCAAGTAACAAAGCTTTTAAGTTAGGTTTTGCAGCAGCGGTGCTTTTAGCATTTGCTCATGCCATTGCCAACATTCTTGGTGGCTGTCATTGTGTTCGATCTAGAGAAGAGCTAGACAATGTCTCTTATAACAAGCGGTTGGCTTTCGGATCCCTCGTTTTCTTATGGTACCAATCTTCTCTTTCTAAGTTGTATCTTTGCAGAAACAGACAAGAGTTTTAATCTTGACAGACAGTATGAAAGTTTCCATTCCAATATGGATAATGCTGTGTGTGAGTATTAGGCCCTTGTACAAGCCACTATACATCAAATTAAACCTCGTGATACTTTCCGGGGTGGGAAGGTGTAGCCGGTTGGGGCTTGTCAAAAAAATAAACTATCATTTATTTTTTTTTATTATAACATCCTACTTTTATTTTAGTCTGTTTCAACATTCTACATTCAATATTTTTTTTTACAATATAGAATCTAACTTTTATTTTATTCAATTACAATATTATACATTCAATTATTTTCTTATCAATACATCATACTTGAAGAAATCTCACTTCAAAAAACCTAACCAATTACAAGGATATACTTTTTTTTTCTTGTTAGGACATTATACTTATAAAAAGTTACCCAATTATGACAATTAAAATTGCAACATTTCTATAATTTTTTAGACATTTTGGAAGTTCAGTTTTTGTAAAACCCAACATAAGGAACGTGTACCTGATGGATTAAAATTTGTACCAGGATTACACTAGTCGCTGGATTTATAATGTTAATAGCAGGAGTTATGGCGAATTCAAGTTCAAGAAAATCATGTGGAATTTCACACCATCGTTATCTATCCATTGGTGGCATTGCGTGTATCATCCACGCCATGTTTGCAGTGTGTTATTACATTTCTGCCACCACCGTTGAAAGAGAAGAAAAAAAGTTGAATTCACCTGGGATTATGCAACACCCACCACAACAAACACATGTTTAATTTTTTAACTATCGGCACCATTTGTTACAAATTGTCCTGTGTTTGTTGTGTTTTGTGTTTGTTCTGATTGAGACTGGACTGACTGTAATTTTATAGTCACGCCTGAGAAGGTGTGACAAGATACAAGGTGTCGGGTTTTTTTTTTCTTTTATATTTTTTTTTGAGGTTCTACTCTTGTATGACTTAGTTTGGTGCTATTTCTTATCTTTGTTGATCTTAATATAGTTTTTAAACTGTTTAAAGAAACTTATTTCTCAATCTACTGATCTACTTTCAAGTATAAAATGCAAAACTTTTATGTAAGAGTAAATTACATGCATGGTCCTTATGGTTTGGGTTAATTTGCACGTTTGGTCCCTAACTTATTTTTCTAACTCGGAAGGTCCCTCTTGCTTGTTTTTGTTTCACGCTTGGTCCATGTCTTACTTAAAAAGACTATGTTGCCCTTGAATTTTTAATTTATTTAAATAAACACACCCCAACCCCACTTCCACCTCAACTTACCTTAGCTTACCTACCCTAATTTATTTAAATAAATTAAAAAAATGAAGAGCAAAATAGACTTTTTAGGTAAGACAGGGACCAAGCGTGTAACAAAAACAAACTGTAAGGACCTTCCGAGTTAAAAAAATAAGTTAGGGACCAAACGTGTAAATTACCCAAACCATAGGGACCATTCGTGTAATTTACTCTTTATGTAATTATCTAGGATAATGACATAAAAATCTTTATGTTTGACAGAAATGTGTGGATTCATTCTTTTTTTGGAGATTTTAAGTTCACTAAAACCGGATGTTTGCAACTTTTTTTTCAAATTTACTTTTTTTGCAGGTTTACTAGGTAAAACCCAATATTTTTGTCAAACTTAACGGCTTTAATGAACCAGAAAGTCAAAAGCGTTTATGAACAAGAATACACAAAAGAATAAAATTGAAAAAAAAAACCATAAAAAAAACAAGTATCTTTTAGGCTTCCTAATCCAATTTACCAAACATGATCTATTTTAAAAAGGACCGTGGTTTTATTAAACATTTTTACAGTCAAATGATCAAATTAGATATAAAAATAAAAAATCCACGTCAACTCATGTTTATATATTCAAGAAAGCTAGCATACTTAGCAGTATTCTATAAAAAAGAAGTTACCACATACGGAGATTATACATATTTTTTGCATATTCATCAATGAAACATTATCAATTTATCATACAACTCAAGTTCATGTTACTAACCTAACTTCATCTAGACACTTAACATAAATACTTCATAAATAACACTTCTCATAATCATAACTTACCTTACAGGCTTAACTAGCACAAGATTTCTTCATAGCATTCAACACAAGCTCTCCCTGTTCTTTCATAAGCTCCAATTTTCTCAAATAATTCTTCAGTTCTTGCACTTTCAAATCATTCCATTTCTCTTCCAATTCCACTTTCTTCGGACCTGAAAGCAACTCTAATCCCCTATTCATAATATCCTCATCTGTGATCGGAATCTTAATTCCACCCCTTGAATGCACCACATTTTTCCCAGATTCATGGCCTCCATTAGAAACCACAGGATTGGAGTTCGCTTTCAGCTTCTGATCTGGTTTTGGCTTAGGGTTAACTTTCTTGGTGTTACAACCAACAATGGCTGCGTTTTTTATACTATTTCTATCCCATAGCTTCTCTGATAACTCATACATTTTCTTCTCATGGGGATTGGACAATGACCTAACTTTCCCATTCTGCTCAATTTTACCTACATTGTTCATGAACTTCGCCTTCAACCTTTTAACCTTAGCTGTCATTTGCCCATTGTTCACATCGACATTCAGTGAAGTTTTCACGAACTCATGGAAATCATTAACATCCGCAATTGGGTCTTTCCCCTTTGTCTCAACGTAACTAATCATACCTTTTATTAACACAATTTCATCATCTTCACTCCATAGCCTCTGAAACAGCGGCTTCTTTTCTGCAGCATTCTCAGGACCCGGTGGCGCCGGTGCTACCACCTCTTTCTTCGTGATCTTCGTTTCCATAGCTTCATCTTCAACCTCCGCAGCCTTCCGTTTCCCGTTTACTGGTTTCGTAGGAGGGGGAGAATTGCGTGAAATAGGGTTTTTGGGTCTGGGTTTTTTGCTTGGTTCATCATCCATAGGCTTTGAAGCTAAAGGTTTAATATTTGGATCGGCTTTTTCGAACTTCTTTGGAGGTGAATCAGCGTCCGATTCGGATTCTTCGGAGGATAATTGTGGCGTCGCATGGGTTTTTCTGGAAGACGGCTGAGGTGGTGGTGTCATATCTGATTCCAATTCCGACTCGGAAACTCCGGTTGACACTTCTTCATCATCAGACGATGAATTGTTCATCTCTAGTTTCGATTGCGCCATGATCCGCCGAGAGATGAATATCCTCCGATAAACCTAGGTCTTCGGCAATTGTGGTCTATGTAGTGGAGAATTTGGGGGTGATGCTCTAATTAGGGTGCGCAACAACGGTAACAATATGTCAATATCTACGTCTTTTCAGAAGTACAAGAACAGACTTTAGCTATTTTCAACATTCACTTTTAACCCTTTAACAAAATATTATTACACCTACTAATGTTTTATGTTTATCAACTCTATCAAATATATATTTTTGAAAAGAATATGACAAAATGGCTGATACTTTGTCAAAAAATAGACAGATATTTTCCTTGTATTTCAAAATAGCATCACATTTCCATCTAGGCTTCTATCATGACATTTTTCTATCTACTATCTTTCTGACATAGCTTTAAATAACGTTACACGTTACTTAGCGGCAAAGTCAAACTTCAAATTTTTACAAGTTACGACGAAACACATTGTTTGTAAGGCGAAACTTTAATACGGCAATTTTTTATATAATTAATAAATTTATATATTTTTCTATTATTATTCATTTTTCTATACATATATGACTTAAGACAAAATTTAGTTAAAATTTGACGTTAATTACAAGCCTTTAACTCGCTATCAAAATCCTAAAGAGTTTTTTAGAACCTTGGTTGCTGCTTATGATTTGCCGTAAAATAGACTATAATTTTTCATACATAAAATAAACTAAATTTTCTTATATTTCAAAATAACCACACATTTGCATATAACATGCTACTCCTTAGACTTCTATAATAACATGTCATGTATTATACAAAGGGTGTTGACATAAACTCCTTAAGTTTTTCAAAAGAAATCGATTTTGTCCTTGTGAAGATTTTAGGTGTGTTAATGCAAAATATTTGGTAAAACTTGTTTAATTTTTCCCTTAAAACATATTTGGCCTTCTACAATAGGTCACCCTTGCCTACAGCACCAACACAATCTGCCATGCTGCCACCACCAGAAGCTGCCACCAACCCTTGGACAACTACCCGAACCACCATCCTCCATCGTCGGGTCATAGCAAATTGCCACAAATTTCGGATCAGCACACACCGTTTGAACTGTTTTCCCCAACCCTTAAATGCTACAAACACCATTGTCTTCCGACCACCGGAGGTACCAATGTCACCCTCCTCCATCCAGTGGAGAACCAAAACCCCCTTATTTCTCCCTCCGCCAGAAAAAATGAAACCCCTTTTCAATTTCACCACAGACCATGTCACCACTAGAAGCAACCACCATAGCCCCCCTTATTTATCACTTTCTTGTCTGAACCTAGAAAAGGTAGTGGTGTCACCACCACCACCATCTAAAAAATCAAAACACACACTAGGGGCGACGACTAGAGGTAGTAGGAGCAATAGGGTAGATGTAACATCCTGTTTCAGATTGTTTGCGATTCAAGACTCGTGGGCCGTAATCTGAATGTGAGAAGGTTTCAAGATTTTGAAAAAAGATATGTTTAGGTCTTCTTGGATATGGATAGGGTGGATTGTGTGAGAAAGGGGTTCGGTTTGTGCTTTAGGTCCCAAAGGTATCGGCAAGTGTTGGTATGGACTTTTCATGAATTTTGGATCTGAGTTCGAGTGCGCTCTAGGAGAAATAAAGTTGATTCAAGTGTAGAACTTCTCGCTACCTTTTCATGGATATAAAGTTCGTCAAAAACGGACATCGGGTGAGGAAGATATGCCACTTGGAAGTTTTTGGCATAAACGGTCCCTTAAGGAGAAAAGTTGGCATGGAAGGCCATGCATGTGAAATGGAAGCGCGTGGGTACGCCCAGCGTAAGGCTGGGTTACGCCCAGCGTATAAGGGAAATGGTCGCGGGTGCTCCTTGGCGTACGCCCAACGTACATCCAGAGTCCAGAAACCCTAAATTTAGGGTGTGCCACTATATAAAGAACATATTGGTTCTAACCCTAGCCTCCTTATCTATTCCCTTACCCTCAGAAAACCCTAGAATGCCCCATCCCTTCATTCTTGAGTGATTTTCTCCATATGAAGCTCATTTGGTGGTGTAAGCTTGGAAGAAGAAGTTGGCAAGGAAGAACTTGGGAGTTTAGAGCTCATAGATCTAGAATGTCCTCATCATTTGGAGCTCTTCTGAGGTATAAAGTTCATAACTTTACTTAAGAATGCATAGATCTTGTGTAGTGAAGTTTTGGAGTTGTTTTGGTCCCAAGTTTGGACCTTTATGTTGGAATCTTGTTTTTGAGCTTAGGGTTGCCACCCTCAGAGCTAAAAGGGTCCCATAAGCAGTAAAGTTTCAATCTTGATGGTCCTAATGAGTTCATGCATGATATCTAGCCCTTGTTATGGAAATATGTTGATGCCTTTTGGGTTTGAGCTTATTTGGTGGATTGCAAGTCACCAAGATTATGACTTTAAGGATTAAGAGGATAATAAGGACCTGGATCTGAATTTGTGGCCTCTGGAATGAAGTATTAAGCACTTAATGGAAAAAGGGCTTAACAGGAAGGTTACGTGCAGGTACGCCCAGCGTACTCGCCATCGAGTCGGTACGCTTAGCGTACGTAGGAGTACGCCCCGCGTAACTTGTCTGTATTGGACTTTGTGTTTTGGGCCATGCTTTGGGCCATGCCTTGGGCAGTTGGGCCATCAATAGTCTGAAGTTATGGGGCAATGATGTATTTGAGATTGGGGTGAGGCCCATTGGAGGGAGTGGACCCGGTTTAGCAAAGTGGGCCGTTAGTGGACTTGGGAAGTTTATCTAGTGTTGGGCCCGCCAATTAGATTGAGAATTGGGCCTTGGTGGGTCCAATGGGTTTAGGTCATTATTGGGCTGGTCAGTGGGCTATTATTAGACCTAAAGAGTGAGAGTTGGACTTAGTACCTAATTGGGGTAATTGTGGGCTTTTGCACAGAGTTAGAGAATGAAGTATAGCGGCAACATTACTAGAGGTTGTTCATCATACGATGTGAGTCTTCTCACTATACCTTACCTAGAGTGGTAATTATGTGTGACCAGAAGGTCTTATGTACTATGACGAGTATGTGATATATGTTGCTATGTGAGATGTATATGTTATGTATGTTATGAGTAGCATGGTATGGACCGGAAGGTCAACAGTGTATGGACCGGAAGGTTAGCAGTGTATGGACCGGAAGGTTAGCAGTGTATGGACCGGAAGGTCAATATGGTATGGACCGGAAGGTCGACAAAGTAGGACCAGAAGGTCTACTCAGATTGTGGGACCGGAAGGTCTTGTAGAGCTATAGCCTCGAGTGGCTTATGTGTTGTATGTAGTATTTTGGGGAACTCACTAAGCTTCGTGCTTACCGTGTTATGTGTTATGTGTTCCAGGTTCTTATCAGGATCGCGGGAAGACACCGGCATGATTGTACACACACACTATGTTTTGGGAAGAGCTACTGTGGATCCTGGATTTTATGTGATGATTTGAAAACTTTGTTAAATGAATATTTGGAGTTGAACAATATGATATATGTTTTTATGAATTGAAAATGAAATATTGGTTTGAATTTTCACGACGTTACAAGTTGGTATCAGAGCCTTGGTTTGAGGGATTCAGATACACCTTCGGGCATATCTGAACTCAAACTGAGGATTTGAGAAAAGTTTTCAAAAAGAAACAATTTTCTAAGATAAATAAAAGATTTTCAAGAAAGCGGAAAGGAGCAGTGTGTACAATCAGCCAGTGCCCGAACGGTGATTTCCCAAAATACCCTTACGTTATATGTTATGAGATGTTATGTGATATGTTATGCATGCTAGAGAGTAGGCTAGGTATTCATATCTAGGACTAGAGTGGCCTGATTTGTGATGCCTTAGCCTAGGAGTTACTGCTACTATGAGTTACTTTGAGAATGAGTAGGTAGCAGAGAGGAGCTTATGAGAGGTCTACTGGAAAGTGGCCTATGTGTGATAAGATGTAGAGTACTTGTGATCTGGAATCCTAGGAGGAGGACTTGGGGTGAAAACTGATGTGGTGTGGAAGGTAGTATAGGGCCCGTACTACTGGAAACACCGGATCAGTGAGCAGTCCAAGTAAGAATCCTTGGGATGCTAAGGAACAAGTAGGGCTGAGTGATCGAGTGCAAGCATACTCGAGCGAGTCTCTGTTCTCTTTTATGATGTGAGATATCATGGTGGGTACATGACACACACCGGTGAGCAGCGGTGTTAGCGATGAGGAGAAGTGATGTCATGGTTTGAGTACCATGATAAATAGCAGATTGAGAAGTGATGTCATGGTTCGAGTACCATGATAAGTAGCAGATTGAGAAGTGATGTCATGGTTTGAGTACCATGATAAATAGCAGATTGAGAAGTGATGTCATGGTTCGAGCACCATGATAAGTAGCAGATTGAGAAGTGATGTCATGGTTCGAGTACCATGATAAGTAGCCGATTGAGAAGTGATGACATGGTTCGAGTACCATGATAAGTAGCAGATCGAGAGGTGACATCATGGTTCGAGTACCATGATTTGAGGCAGATTGAGAAGAGAGAACATGGTTCGAGTACCATGATTCGTAGTAGATTAAGAGGAGATAACATGGTACGGGTACCATGATTCATAGAAGATCGAGAGGTGGCCACACGGTTTGAGCACCATGGCATGTGTCGGTTAGTGCTTCTGGTTTTACCAGTTATTCCGTGGTGATTGTCTAGACTGAGATCATATATGAAAGAGTATGGGGCTAGAAGGCCATGATGAACGAGTTTAGTGGAGCATCCCTTGAGAGGGGAATCGAGTTAGCTCCAAGGAATTGTTGGTGAGATGCCAGTTGGAGTCGCAAGACTCAGGAATGTGTAGGGATGGTACATTATGGAAGAATACGGTCTGGGCTGAGCGACCGACCGATAGTGAAGATGTCACTTTCTGTGACCTGGGTGGTGTTATTTCCGTTTCCTGTGGGAAACATAGGAGGTGTTGGGATTTCGGTTTCTGAACTTGGGGGTAAAACCCTGCGGGTTAGCATTGATGGAGACTTTCCAT